GCCACTACCTTTTATTAATTGGAAAGGAAAAAATATTTTTTTTATAATTTCTTTTCATGTTGCTGTTAAGTTTTATGTAAAGTATACTTTGAAAATTTGCATTAAATCAAAACCTATTATTTCTTACTCTAATCTAAAAACAAAAATATACTGGTATCTTTAATAATAATACAAATAAGATAGTAATGATAAGTTTCATAGTTTCATGGTTACCACCTTGAATTTAGATTCATTTTAGATTAAGGGCACACAGTTGCAATAACACAGGTAACGTTAACTTGTTGCAGAAAAATAGTAGCCTACTCTGCAATGGTAATGTTAAAATGTCACGGTTTCTACACATTATAACAACTAACTTATTTAAACAATGAACATAACAAAAATAACATGCATACTTACAAGATCGAAGTATACGTGTCGCTCGCCCGTTGCTCTCCGACAGCTGCCTCGTGTAAAATAAAATTGAAAATGGCAGAAATGTTTATCGCGAGATCTGGTTAAAGTGATCTAGTCGCGTCCCAGTAGTCATGTCTCAGTAGTGTTTGGATTGTGCCATCTAGCGGTTGAGAAATGCAATTGCATTTGATTTAATTTGAAATGATAGACAGTCATATCGTAGATTGTGTATGAATGTTATGTTTATGTGTGACAGGCAGCAAACATTAAGCTGTGTGAGCAAAAACATTTTTAAGACTAATATTCTTATAATATTTCGCCGGTATGAATCATGGCTATAGCCAAGCCGTACGTAGACCAGAGTGCTTTGATTTCGCCAGGTGGGCTAAAGTAGACCGCATATAGCCCGTCCAATTCAGAGCTAAATCGTGACTACAGATCGACCATGTCGTGAAATGACACATTGAACCTTGCAGATATCATTACAAATGCGAACATGATGGAATATCAACAATTTAATGCACTGCCTGGCAAAAAAACTACAATTACTCAGTTTTGACTAAAAGTGGGCTACAATAGCCGGGTCTGAATACGAGCTAAATCGTGGCTACGCACAGCCTACATATATAACATGTAAAATAAAGCAAACCAAACACCTTGTAATCACAGTTGACTTTGCTTACATGATGGAATATCATCTCACAAGTTATTTTGGAAAAAAATAAATTTATCCAGATTGAATGTTATTTGGACTAAAAGTGGGTTACACATAGCCGGACTATATCGGGTCTGTATTTAACCGAGATGTTGAAATGACGGCTATTGCTTGCTGGGAAGTATCGGTGTTTTAAAAAGGAGGTGGTCATGTCTCCACAGGGGTATGGCAGCATATTTAAATTTGTTTGATTGTTTATTTTGTTTATTAAAGTGCAAGTTTTGAATACACCCCAAATGTCCTCGGTAGGAATTGCGATGGAGCCAGAGAGAGCAGCAAAGGTGACAGGAGCATGCATTGTATTGCACAATTTGGCCATGCTGTGGAAGATGCCAGTTGATGATCTAGGAGGTGAAGAGATTGAGGAGGTCCCGCAGGAAGAGCACTGTAACTTTAAGACCCAGTGCAAGAGGGTGTAACTGTCAGGCGTTTCATCACACAGAATCATTTCACTTAAACTGCACTAAAACACATAATTGACCTTTTTATGTAACATATCATTATTTGTCAATAAGTTCACACACAAATTGTTTAGAATAAAAAGACTACTATTTTTTCATTTTTAATTAAATAAACTTAAATTCCATTCATTGTAGATTTGTATTCCTCGTCTCACTTGTGAACTGTATCTCAAATCTAACATCTCTCAGTTGTGATGAATTCAAAGACAATGAATTCAAAAAAATGTTCTTTTTAAAGTAAAAACTCAGACTTCTTGTCAAATATTTATTATTGTCAAAATTATTTCATGGTGTCTGCACACACTACAAATAAATTCAATAAATATACAAATTATACTGTATTGAAGAATAATAAATATATAAACATAAATATCGCTGTGTTGCAAACAAGTTATTAAATGTAATAACAGAATGACGCAACAATTAGCCTACGCACTTTAACCATTAGCCTTAAACAAACTTGGCAATGAAACTGTCGATATGATGACCTGTTGAAGGAGTAACCAAGAGGCTTTAACTCCTCTTGTAATTTAATGATTTCTAGGTTTAATTTAACATTTTCAAGTTCTATTTTTTTGCGTTCACTTTTTATTTTCAAGATCTCCTCTTCTACTTTCGCGCATTTGAGCAGGTTTGAGAAGCTTACAGCGGCTATAGTTTATGTCCTCCTCCTGCTCATTTGGACGTTTCCTTTTCTTTGCATTTTCGGCTGAAGGTAGCGGCTCTTTATCTTGTGTGCTCTCTGGACGGTCTGTGCGAAGGACAGGCAGATCTCCCGCTGATGCTGGCGCTACAGTGTTTTCAGCGCAAGTTTCTGTTGCGGGAGTTGGCTGACTCATGCAATAACACCTGCCGATGAATAAACAAGAACTCGCTTTTTTTCAAACTTTACATGGTTGAGTCCTAACTGCAAGTCAGAAAAGTAGCCTATTTTATTTTTATATTGTTCATTGGCACCATATGTATTTTTAGGAAACATTCTAAGAATAAAAACAAGAAAATATAAATACTTTGAGTAATGTCTTCTGTGGCCTCACTTCCACTTTCAACTCCAGTGATTCCGCAGACGGCGGGTGAGTTATCACCAATTATTTCCAGGATAACTGTTGAATATGGGCCAGGCTCAGGTCTCGGACCGCCTCCAGTGGGGACATGTTTTGTGCGAGGAAAATCCTCAATCGCTTGTGTGTTAAGGTCGCTCCACTTCTTCCTAACTTCTTTTATCTCCCTCTCCTCACAGCCTTTTGCATTTGTTTGTTGTGTCCTGCCAAGTATCATTTTTTTCCCGGTTTGTGACAGATGAGTTTAATTTGCTTTCAAGGACTGTTTTGTTTTCTTTATATCCATCAATTAAAATAAGAATTTCTTCATGACTGAAATTTTTCTTCCTGATTCTTTTCTCCTCCATGAGTAGGCTATGAATATATTTTCAATTAAAAGTTTAATGTTTTGATTTTGACAACGTTTGTTATAACGTCTTTTTTAAACTTTCGGTTAGTCAAGAATGAGTTTGAAATTCCGCGCTGTTCAGACTATTTCCTGTTTACCTATAAGAAGGCTTGTGATTGGCTTAAAAAAATAGACGTCACTATGCGTCAACGCATTACTTCACGGAGAGTTTACGACCTACTAGCTACGTTCTGCCTTACGAACAAATGGTGCAACGGAATAAAGTAAAGAGTTAGTTACAAACTAGCTAGTAGTTACTAAGCCTCTAATGTGGACTTTACGTTCCAGTTTAAGCAAGAACTTACGAACAGCTGGTGCAACCCTACCCCGGTGTGCAACGGGGTTTGAGATGCGTTTTCTCTTGTTTGTATATAACGCACGCTGTATTAAAGTGAACTCGCACAATGGGTTCAAGGAAAGTTATTTACAAATGTGTTCGATGCAGCTCGGTATACGCAACAAATGAGGATAGGATATTAGAAGACATGTTTGTCGTAAGTTTTATTGTAAAAATATAGGATATCAACATGTAGTTGTTTATATTTTTAGCTTCATTGCAAGTGTATGACATTTGGTATAGAAATAAACAATGGTAATTAAGTGATTTTCCTAAAAATGAGAAAGAAAATACAGGGTATTAAAACAGTATGAACTACAAATAAAGTCAGTATGTGAGGATAAATAGATGTGCTTTAGTCTGAATTAGGTAAGATGTGTGCTTCCATTTCAGTTTCCACAAATCCCTTCACTCGACTGGGATGTTCTCTCGTGTTCTGGGCGGCAAGTGCAGTAACTGTAACATCGGGCATATTTTGTAGTATTAAACACATTTATACCGACTTCATCAGGCTCCGAAAATTCTTCACAAAGAATGGCCTTTCTCAGCTGCCGTAGTTGCAACTCTGGCATCATCAGAGCAGTGCGTTCAACGCATCATCGTTTCTGTTTAAAAAACGTTGTGCTGTCGGCGCTGAACGCAGCCCTGGGTTTTGCGTAGTTTAGAGTGACTAATCGTACCAGCGTACATTGAGGTCAAAATGCGTGCCCGCTACGCAAAATGCGTACATGTTGGCAGGTCTGCAGTTGTGCTAAAATAAATATGACGAGACGTCCATCATCAGATGAATGATATGGAAAAGTTAAGTTAGAGCCGCTAAAGCCAGTGCTACTACCCATGCGAACATGAACACTAAGCTTTTCCCTCCAAAAAAAAAAGCCTAAAACTTATCTAAGTAATATACAGTATTTCGGTTGTCACCCTGCCTCTCCAAATGCAAAACTGACATTAACAGAATGCAATAATGCAGTAACAGCTGAAAAAGTACTTGGGTGTGTGTTTTATTTAATATTTACCGTTCAATAATGCAATCGCTGCTGTCTGTCCCATAGAAGAACATGACAGCCCGCGTATGTTGTGGAACTATTGGGGCTTACATGAACCACGTGACAGCCGTCGCGGCGACATCAAAGAGTGTCGCAACTCTTTGGCTCTGAGCTGCTCTATTATGTCGAGGATTTTCTGGATTCTGATTGGCTGACGTTGGCTTGAGCTTCTCGTTACACTGCCACCTACAGGTCTGGCATGCTCTTGACGGCATATATACACGGGTTTGTGTAAACGAACACTTTCTGAAAACTGACAGGTGTGCACAATGTTATTTTTGAAAACGGAGAGGGTGAAATTTCCGTTTACTAAAATAGCCAGCCCTTACACCCTCGCTTGTGTCATTTATTGTGTTGTGAAGAGCTGTGACATGAAACGGGATCTGCAGTGTGTGTGTCTGAACAGAAACACTAGAACACAGAGAGAATATACAGGTTTTATTCCTCCGTCTACATCACTCACACACACACCAACTTCAGTCACCTACTCTACTGTTACCATCTGGGAGTATTTTAATTACATTATCAAAAGGAATTTACAGAATCATCCACACACACACACACACACACACACACACACACACACACACACACGATTAGAAACTGAGCAGGAAGGAAGGCAGGTGTTAATTTCACTCTCGCTGATTAAATATTAAAGTCAGAGTGTATCTATGAAAACTGCTGCTTTCATCACAGAATCAGATGAAAACTGTCAGATGGAAACGAGTCGCTCGGATCAGTCCGTGATCCGGTCCGTTCACATGTTCTTCTTGTCGGGATTCTCAGGAGGATAATACGGAGGCGGCTGATCCTGATGAACAACACATGAGGAATCATTTGAAATGACTCGCGTTCACTGAATCACCAGTAGAAGTGTGTGTGTGTGTGTGTGTGTGTGTGTGTATTCCTATTGGTCTCTGGAACAGCCAGTGTGCTGTAAACAAAGCAGACTTTATTTCAGCTATTGCTACTCCTCCAGGTCTCTGTCTCATGGCCCTGACTGACCTGGACCAGACCCGAGGACACTGCCACTCCTGCTGCCCTCTCCACACACACACACACACACACACACACACACACACACACACACACACACACACACACACACACACACCTCGCCCAACTGGGAGCAGTGGAGGCACTGGTCTGCTCATCTCTAACGAATGGAAAGTTGATCCTTTACCATCTCTAACTGGCAACAGTTCATGTGAATCACATACTATTACTCACCCTATTAAAATCCACTTTGTAGTTGTTTATCATCCCCCAGGTCCACTGGGTAACTTCTTAGAGGAGTCGGGTGTGTTGCTCTTAGTCGACCCTGAGGACAGGACTCCTCTGCTACCACTCTTGACTTCAACATCCAGCTTGAGAACACCCCAGGCTGCATCACTCTCCTGGCCTCATTCGACCTCAAGCGGGTGTCTACTACAGCTACTCACAAATCAGGTAACCAACTGGACCTTATCTACACACACTACTGCTGCACGGACAACACGTTAGTTACTCCTCAGACCACTTCCTCATCCCTTTTAACCTCAAACTGACTCCTGACACACTCCTCCACAGGTCACCTTTCAACTCTACTGACCTTAGTTTGTATCAGTCTCTCAGCTCTTCCTTCTCTGTACCGTCTCACGATCTGACAGCTGCTTTTGACGCAGTCAACCTCCAGATCCTCCTGTCAACCCTCATGACGATGGGCGTCTCAGGAACAGCACTCAATGATTTAGGTCTGACCTCTCAGCAGGTCCTTCAGGGTGTCGTGGAGGGGTGAGGTGTCTAAGACCAACATCTAGCTACTGGAGTGCCTCAGGGCTCAGTGCTGGGACTGCTTCTCTTCTACATCTACATGTCATCACTGGGATCTGTCATTCAGAAACATAGTTTATCCCATCACTGTTATCATCTAGCTACTGGAGTGCCTCAGGGCTCAGTGCTGAGACCGCTTCTCTTCTCCATCTACATGTCATCACTAGTGTCTGTCATTCAGAAACATGGTTTATCCCATCACTGTTATCATCTAGCTACTGGAGTGCCTCAGGGCTCAGTGCTGGGACCGCTTCTCTTCTCCATCTACATGTCATCACTAGTGTCTGTCATTCAGAAACATGGTTTATCCCATCACTGTTATCATCTAGCTACTGGAGTGCCTCAGGGCTCAGTGCTGGGACCGCTTCTCTTCTCCATCTACATGTCATCACTAGTGTCTGTCATTCAGAAACATGGTTTATCCCATCACTGTTATCATCTAGCTACTGGAGTGCCTCAGGGCTCAGTGCTGGGACCGCTTCTCTTCTCCATCTACATGTCATCACTAGGATCTGTCATTCAGAAACATGGTTTATCCCATCACTGTTATCATCTAGCTACTGGAGTGCCTCAGGGCTCAGTGCTGGGACCGCTTCTCTTCTCCATCTACATGTCATCACTAGGATCTGTCATTCAGAAACATGGTTTATCCCATCACTGTTATCATCTAGCTACTGGAGTGCCTCAGGGCTCAGTGCTGGGACCGCTTCTCTTCTCCATCTACATGTCATCACTAGGATCTGTCATTCAGAAACATGGTTTATCCCATCACTGTTATCATCTAGCTACTGGAGTGCCTCAGGGCTCAGTGCTGGGACCGCTTCTCTTCTCCATCTACATGTCATCACTAGTGTCTGTCATTCAGAAACATGGTTTATCCCATCACTGTTATCATCTAGCTACTGGAGTGCCTCAGGGCTCAGTGCTGGGACCGCTTCTCTTCTCCATCTACATGTCATCACTAGTGTCTGTCATTCAGAAACATGGTTTATCCCATCACTGTTATCATCTAGCTACTGGAGTGCCTCAGGGCTCAGTGCTGGGACCGCTTCTCTTCTCCATCTACATGTCATCACTAGGATCTGTCATTCAGAAACATGGTTTATCCCATCACTGTTATCATCTAGCTACTGGAGTGCCTCAGGGCTCAGTGCTGGGACCGCTTCTCTTCTCCATCTACATGTCATCACTAGTGTCTGTCATTCAGAAACATGGTTTATCCCATCACTGTTATCATCTAGCTACTGGAGTGCCTCAGGGCTCAGTGCTGGGACCGCTTCTCTTCTCCATCTACATGTCATCACTAGGATCTGTCATTCAGAAACATGGTTTATCCCATCACTGTTATCATCTAGCTACTGGAGTGCCTCAGGGCTCAGTGCTGGGACCGCTTCTCTTCTCCATCTACATGTCATCACTAGTGTCTGTCATTCAGAAACATGGTTTATCCCATCACTGCTACGCTGATGACACAGCTCTACCTCTCACTCCAGCCTGAGGATCTGACGGGAGCTGCTCGCATCTCAGCCTGACAGACATTTACTGCTGGATGAAGGACCACTACCTTCAACTAAACCTTGCGAAGACAGAGTCGCTAGTGGTCCCGGCTGGGTGACTGGGTTTGACATCCATAACTCCATCAAGGTCAGCCAGGAACCTTGCAAGAGTCTGAGTGTGTGTGTGTGTGTGTGTGTGTGTGTGTGTGTCTCACCATGGGCATGTAGACACTGTGAGGGTTGCTGGGATTGTAAAATGCACTACTGGCTGCTTCTGCTGCTTTGGCATTTCCTGGAGCAACTGTGAACAACAGACAGAGATCAGATCATGTGACTAAAGACCCAATATACTGTGTGTGTGTGTGTGTGTGTGTACCTGGTGGAGGACACCAGTCCTGTGGGGGTCCGGGATACGGAGGAGGCGGAGCCATGTACATGGGAGCGCTGGGATACACACCTGTTTAACAACACAGTTCATCAGTACTGAAGCGTTCATCAGCTGAGAGTGTGTGTGTGTGTGTGTGTGTGTGGTACCTGCAGCAGTGGGGGGGTATGGGTACGGGCTGTAGGCGGGCTGAGGCATGCTGGGATACGGGTACAGCTGAGGCATGGCTGGACTGGCGTATCCGTTCATCCCTGCGGCCGATCCGTTCTGAGCCGGAGGAGCTCGAGACGCTGACCAACACACACACACACACACATTCATTAATATATTGACATATATGTGTGTATTTGTAAAACACAAGACCGTTTAAGCATCAATAAATCAAACAAATCCATCATACCGTTGGTGGCCAGTTTGAAGAGCTGCTGTCCCAGCTCGATGGCGCCTCCGCTGGGGAAACACATCTTAAAGTTGGCCTGGCCTTCCCAGCCGCCTAAAACACACACACACACACACGTGAACACAGCGCTATAAGAACACACACACTCAGTGCAGGAGCATGCTGGGTAAAGCACTCTACCTCCCGCCTCGGCTTTGATCAGACCCTGGATGTAGTTGGCGGCGAACACTGGCTGCTCAATGCTGCAGTTCTTCATCAGGTAATACGGGAACATGAAGGAGCAGAACTTGTCTTTCATCACACTGCTCACAAACACCATCTGAAACACACACACTAGTGTTGTCACGATACCAAAATTATTGTTTCGATACCGATACCAAGTCAAGAATTGCAATTTCGATAGTTTTCCGATACTTTTCCTGAAAAAGGAAAAGTATTTCTTACAAGGCGTTTCACAAATAGCCACACCTCCCTTGCGCAGGTCTGTGCTCTTTAAATGCTGTAATAACCTAATATAAATGAATCACTGACAAACATGCACATGCTCTGATTATAATCATATAGCCTATAGATCATTATAGATCATAGATGTTGTGTACGCTTTATTTTAGCAGCTTGCAAATTATTAACGTTATCTATGAAAGTTGGGGGGAAAGTTGTACACCTAATACAAAAATAAATAAAACCTCTCCAGTTAACTAGCAGAGCAATTTTAAAAATCTGTTGTTTTTTTAACTCAAGCTGAGCGCTTGTTGCCGCTGCTATCAGTGTCATGGATACAGTTGTTCTCTTGTGGCGCGCGCAGTCTTCACTCGGACGCGTGCATCAATCTATCGCCGTTGCGGATACTCTCTATTCATTCCAGTGAGATCACAAAATAAAATGCACACAAACGTGTCCCTGCCTGATGGTGTTGCTAAGAACTTGAACTTGCAATGTATAACTATCAGACCGGCCCTCGCGGCCTCGAAACACTAGCGGCCCACCGGGAGAAGTCCCGACTCTCCGGATCGCCACTCCGCTACTGACCGGCGGCCACAGTATCCCTTGTGCTCGCACATGCAGCATCTCGCTGTAGTGTTAGTCTCATGACAGCGGCAGTGCGTGAGGAGGAAAAACACAGATGATAGTGCGTTGCACACACCAACATGAAATACGTCTCTTACAAATCTGGAACGCGGCCATTCTTAGAAGTATCGATACCAATAAATGTAGGAATCGTGACGTTTTTAATTTTCGAGAATCGCGATACTTTTGAAGTATCGGTGCACCGTGCAACACTAACACACACACGTCTGATTAACCTGTGTTTGGGTCAGTTATGGGTTAGTTAAGATGTGTTTGGGTGGGTTATGGGTTACTTTTAACTCTATTGGGTCAGTTATGGGTTAGTTAACATACGTTTGGGTGGGTTATGGACTACTTTAAACTCTATTGGGTCAGTTATGGGTTAGTTAGCATGTGTTTGGGTGGGTTATAGTTACCTTAAACTCGATCGGGTCAGTTATGGGTTAGTTAGCATACGTTTGGGTGGGTTATGGACTACTTTAAACTCTACTGGGTCAGTAATGGGTTAGTTAGCATGTTTTTGGGTGGGTTATGGGTTACTTTAAACTCTATTGGGTCAGTAATGGGTTAGTTAGCATGTTTTTGGGTGGGTTATGGGTTACTTTAAACTATTGGGTCAGTAATGGGTTAGTTAGCATGTGTTTGGGTGGGTTATGGGTTACTTTAAACTCTATTGGGTCAGTAATGGGTTAGTTAGCATGTGTTTGGGTGGGTTATGGGTTACTTTAAACTCTATTGGGTCAGTAATGGGTTAGCTAGCATGTGTTTGGGTGGGTTATAGATTACTTTAAACTCGATCGGGTCAGTTATGGGTTAGTTAGCATGTGTTTGGGTGGGTTATGGACTACTTTAAACTCTATCGGGTCAGTAATGGGTTAGCTAGCATGTGTTTGGGTGGGTTATAGATTACTTTAAACTCTATCGGGTCAGTAATGGGTTAGCTAGCATGTGTTTGGGTGGGTTATAGATTACTTTAAACTCTATCGGGTCAGTTATGGGTTAGTTAGCATGTTTTTGGGTGGGTTGTGGGTTACTTTAAACTCTATTGGGTCAGTAATGGGTTAGTTAGCATGTGTTTGGGTGGGTTATAGATTACCTTAAACTTGATCGGGTCAGTTATGGGTTAGTTAGCATGTGTTTGGTTGGGTTATAGATTACCTTATACTGTGTGAGGAAGACGGAGCCCTTCTTGGTCCCCTTGAACAGGTCGTTCTTGGGTGTGATGTCACTGAAGGTCAGTTCGACGCTCTTACATTCTCGTAAGATGCTGAAAGACCAGGATGAAAACAGGAAGTGAGGTCACAATGGGAACTCAAGCGCACAGAACAGCCGCAGTTTCTCAACAGATATGAACAAACACTGTTACTACAGTTCCTGCAGAAATCACCGCACAGCTCTAATAATGATGATGATCTTAAATCCTACTACTTCTGACACCTTTAACTGGGACGTTTGATGGCTCATTGTCAGTGTAGTCAACGTAAACCACAGGCTAACTATATGATTAATACCAGACTATTATGATTCATCACATTATAGATCTTATTAAACACATGGTTATTTGTCAAACTAATATAGATTATGATTTAATAAGCGTCTCATAAGGATCAGCAGATCTGTACATGATGACAGCGTGTCAATCAGATTCGGTCAAAAAAACAACACAATACATAAACAACATACAAGATGGATCCTCCGCGCGTGTGTTATATCAGCGGGTATGATGTGTGTGTGTGTGTGTGTGTGTGTGTGTTACTGTGATTATGTGTTGTTGTTGTGTGTGTTTGGTAACTTACCTCTCTCCGGCCTGGATCAGCACTCCTCCGTTCGGGTGATGGTTTTGGTTCAGCGTCATGTTCTCCCGCTGATCAGGACTCAACTAAAGCAGATGTTAACTTCAGCGCGATGGTATTTAATAAAGAAGTGTGTTATTAATGTGCGATCACTCACTGACGATCCTCTCGGTAAACAGTTGCGCACTTTATTTCCGGCACCACGTGACTGCTCTCCGCTGATCAGGTGACCTGTGCTGTGACGTGTCCGGTCGGGCAAACAAAACCCATTCAACTTCAAAACACCAGTTTATCGTTTTTGAGTGTAAACCTTTTTTTGTTGTTGTTAAAGGACTCGTATATTTTGCCGAGATGTAATATTTTATCTAGTGCTATTCACGCCTAGTTATACTGCGTTAAATTTTTTTACATTAGCATTTTATGAAAAGTAATTTAAATAATATTAATATAATTTAATTTAAAATAAGCACATACACACACAAATATATAAATATATTCCAACACTAATAATTAAACTCAAAAGATAATCACTTTTAAGTCTTCACTTAAAAACACTGGAAACAAAATGTTCTTAAGGAGTAACCGACATTTGACACACACAATACACCATTATAATTTATTTTTGCATCATAAACACAAATCATTAAAAAACACAGTTACATGAAAGCGTAATAAGACACATTCACTCACTGCTGTACTCAGACAACTTTATTTCAAATGAAGATTTATGTAAACAAACAGTACAGCTGAAGGGGATTGTGGGTAGTGGAGTCAGAGCTGAAGGGGATTGTGGGTAGTGGAGTCATCAGAAGGCTGAAGGGGATTGTGGGTAATCAGAAGGGCCTGAACTTCCTCTGCGCTCTCAGGACAGCGATCCTCTGCTTGTCCTCCTCAAACTTCTTCCTCAGCTCAGCGATATCTGAAACAGAGAGAGACACGCTCGGCATTATGGGAAGGCACTCTGAGGCGTGAACACCACACACACACACACACACACACACACTCACGCTCTCTCTGTGTGTTCCTGTGCTGCCACGAGTAGAAGTTGAGCAGCTCCTTGCGCTTCCTCTTCCTGTCCTCTCTCTGGAGCGTCCTCTGATTGGCCGACTCGCTGTGGGGGCGTGTCTTCGCTCCTCGACTGCCCTTCGCCACCTTCACCCACCCCTCCTCATCCTCCTGCTGTTGCTCCGCCTCCTGCTTCTGAAGCTCCGCCTCCTGACGGCACATCATCAATAATTAATGAGCTACAGTACAGATGTTTGAGTGATGTAGTTTCCTGTCACTCACTCATAAACTACACATCAAATGCACCTTACTGTATGTCTGTGTGGGGAGGGGAGAGTGTGTGTGTGTGTGTGTGTGTGTGTGTGTGGGGAGAGGAGTGAGTGTGTGTGTGTGTGTGTGTGTTACCTCTTCCTTCCGTTTGTCAAACTCATTCATGAACTGGTCGATGTCCTGCTGCAGAGACGAAGCTTTGACCAGAGACTTTGAGTACTTCTGGATCCACTCTACACACACACACACACACACACATCATCAAAACACACACACAGACCGTGATCATCATGAGAGTGTGTGTGAGACTCACTGTGGACGCCGGTGCGCACGGGTCTCTCTGCGCTGGAGACGATCAGCGGGAGTGTGTGTGGGTGCCGTTTGGCTGATCTGACACCCGACGCACTACTGAACACGATATAGGCCACTCTAAAACACTACACACACACACACGAGAGAGAGAGAGAGAGAGAGAGAGAGAGAGAGAGAGAGAGAGAGAGAGAGAGAGAGAGAGAGAGAGAGAGAGAGAGATCAGTGAGTGACTCCGTGAGTGTGTGTGTGAGTCTGTAGTGTGTGTGTGTGTGTGTGTGTGGGTGCCGTTTGGCTGATCTCACACCCGACGCACTACTGAACACGATATAGGCCACTCTAAAACACTACACACACACACGAGAGAGAGAGAGAGAGATCAGTGAGTGACTCCGTGAGTGTGTGTGAGAGTCTGTAGTGTGTGTGTGTGTGTGCCGTTTGGCTGATCTGACACCCGACGCACTACTGAACACGATATAGGCCACTCTAAAACACTACACACACACACACACGAGAGAGAGAGAGTGAGAGAGAGAGAGAGATCAGTGTGTGACTCCGTGAGTGTGTGTGTGAGTCTGTAGTGTGTGTGTGTCACCTGTGTCTGCGCGGGTCTGAAGTATCCGCTCGTGTCGCTGGATTCTGACGCTCCTGGTTTCTCACACAGTTCCACCGACTCGATCGCACCGAAGCGGCTGAAGACGTGTCTGACAACATCCTGCACACACACACACACACACTTGTGACAACATAACCGACATTGTGGGTACCTGTGTGCATGTGTGTGTGTAGGATGTTGTCACAGATGTGTGTGTGTACCTGTGTACAGTAGGGCTGCGTGTGTGTGTGTACCTGACCTGTGTGCAGTAGGGATGTGTGTGTGTGTACCTGTGTACAGTAGGGCTGTGTGTGTGTGTGTGTGTGTACCTGACCTGTGTGCAGTAGGGATGTGTGTGTGTGTGTACCTGTGTACAGTAGGGCTGTGTGTGTGTGTACCTGACCTGTGTGCAGTAGGGCTGTGTGTGTGTGTGTGTGTGTGTGTGTGTGTACCTGTGTGCAGTAGGGCGGCACGTTGAGCACGAACAGTGTTCGCTCCAGCGGTCTGTGTGTGTTGGACTCGGATCGGACTCGATGCTCTTTCACACACAGCTGATGAAGAGCAGCATGAGCGTCATCCTCACTGAACCTCAGCGACAGCACTGTCACACACACACACACACACACACACACACACACACACACACACACACACACACACACACACACACAGTTACTAAACTCCAATCGCTGAGACATTAGAATGAATCAGTCAAGCGCGAGTCGAGTCTAGTAAATCGACTCGCGAGTTCATCGTGCAACCTGGACTGTTATCATCATCACGAGCGAATATACGCATGTTATTTAATTTATAAACGTTAATGAATTCATTTTTACCAGTAAAACCTCCAGGAATGACCCACGCTTGTTGATCTGTGGACGGCGCCATCTTCGTTTACACGAGTCACCGGAAACAGAGACGCAATGGCTGCTGGGAACTGTAGTTGCACTGAGGAATTGCTCTGAATGTGAAAATGTCGTCATCAGAAGAATATGAGTGTAAATGAGTGGACAGTTTCTGTTGTGCTCTAAAATTACTAAAAATACCGTAAAAGTTGTTAATTCGACTCACTCAGGTCTTCTAAAGCTTGAGCAGGACTGCCAACTTTTGAGTTTAGTTTGCATTCATTTCGATATATAGCCTATAGGTACAGATCAAATTTTTCTGAAGAAAAACAAACATCTCACCTAATGCTGTAAATACAGAGAGCCCTGTCAGAGGTATGTATTTAAAAAAAAAACTCAAATTAAATATAATACAGTATTTATTATAATAATGTTATAATAGTTTATATATGTGAACAAATATAATAAATATGTAATACAGTGCACATATCTAGCAAAATACTCTCTATAGCTAATTTTTCTAGCTAACTAGCTATGGTCATTAATGTTCCTGAGGTAAATGTAACGTCACGTGACATATTGTTCTCCATCAGTTTTATTGACCTCTTTCCACTGTTGAAAAACTCTGATTATCGATTATGAGGGATATACATTTCGGTAAGTTGTACAGTATCTTTCAACATATTGTTAATTCGTGTTTATTTACTATTAACTAGTAGTGAAGAGTAAGAGATGATCGGTTCACTGAGGCGTACAGCGATCTGTCACGGCACATTTACAAGCGCCAAAACCGTATGTAAATATTGTTGAATTTCGTGATAAAATGGACAGAATCTGAGAGCTGAGAGTGTTTCATATCAACAGTAGCTGATCTATCTTGTCTGTCGATCTGCATTGGCCAGCAGGTGTCGCTGTGTGCATTTCCAAACCTCGAGATATCAACCTTTCAGATCAATACAATTGTGTTTTATGTTTCAACTAAAGTTTCAGATTAATACAGTTGTGCTTCATGTTTCAACTAAAGTTTCTTCACAAACTGTGCATTTCCCCTGTGCACTTCAGCGCTATACAGAGAGACATATAATAACAATAAATATAATAACTGTAATGATAACTACATAATAACTGTCTGTAATGATGACTGGAACTATAATGATAACTATAATAACTGTAACAAAATACTGGCAGCAGCACAGTTCAGTTGCACTAAATTGAAACTTTTTGTGTGTGAGTGAGTTCATGAAATTTAATTTACTATTCATAAATAAGTTGTTTACACTTTACAGAACAAAAACAGTGTGACTTCGGCACACACACACACACACACATCAAGAATCACTATTATCCTATTATCGCTGTAAAGCTGCTATGAAACTATCTATATTGTTAAAGCGCTGTATAAAATGAAGGAGACTTGACTAGACTCAAAGTCAAGACCATTCAAGACCACAGAGCAAAATCCTCAGTGTTAAAGTACACAGTTCAGAGTCTATATGAGCCGATCTACAGAGAGGACAAACTTACACTGGTATAGTGTCACTATATAGCAGCGGGTTTCAACAGTTGATCAGATGAGAGGAAGTTAATAACCACAGGAGGAGCTGATGATGTTTAAAGGGTTAGTTCACCCAAAAATGAAAACTCTGTCAGTAATGACTCTCCCTCATGTTGTTTCAACCCCGTAAGACTTTCGTTCATCTTCGGAACACAACCCTTACAGAAAAACCACATGAGTTTCACATGTGCAAAAACACATGTGATCCCATGTGACAACGTGGACATGTGATTTTGCACATGTGAAATTTAACATGTGAAATATGTGGAACACATGTGCTTTGCACATGTTAAAGGTAATTTGCACATGGGAAACGTGTGGTTTTGGAACATTTTCATGTGAAACCCATGTATATTCCCATGTGAAACCCATGGGATTGCATGTGAAACCCATGTATATTCCCATGTGAAACCCATGGGATTGCATGTGAAACCCATGTGATTACATGTGAAACCCATGGGATTGCATGTGAAACCCATGTGATTACATGTGAAACCCATGGGATGTGAAACCCATGTGAAACCCATGTGATTACATGTGAAACCCATGTGATTACATGTGAAACCCATGGGATTGCATGTGAAACCCATGTGATTACATGTGAAACCCATGGGATTGCATGTGAAACCCATGTGATTGCATGTGAAACCCATGTGATTACATGTGAAACCCATGGGATTGCATGTGAAACCCATGTGATTACATGTGAAACCCATGGGATTGCATGTGAAACCCATGTGATTGCATGTGAAACCCATGTGATTACATGTGAAACCCATGGGATTGCATGTGAAACCCATGTGATTGCATGTGAAACCCATGTGATTACATGTGAAACCCATGGGATTGCATGTGAAACCCAAAATTCCCATGTGAAATCCATGAGCTTACATGTGAAACGTAAAATTCCCATGTGAAACATTTAATCACATGTGAAACCCATGAGATATCATGTGAAATGTAAAATATCTCATGTGAAACCCATAGAATGACATTTGAAACCCATCAACAATCCATGTTAAAGCTACACACCATGTAAACCTGTAACTTCATGTGAAATCCATGTAAAAATCATTAAGCAATATACCACAGAAAACGGTAGGCCTACCATGTTCTTGTGTAGGCTCTATAGCCTAATGTTTCCCAACATTAAAACAAATAATTCAAAAAAAATTTTTTTTCACTTTTTATTTCATTTCAAAATATGCAATACAAATTGAATGTTTAAAACAAACAAAGCAAAACCAAATTAAAATTATACATAAAAAGCCGCAAAAAACGCAGGTATACGCGCATGTGTGTGTGTGTGGTGTGCGTTTGTGAAAGTGTGTTGTCTCAGTCCTTTGTGTCTCCTGCAGCAGGCATCCTGTTTTGGGATAGAAAAAGATCAAAGATTAGGGCAGTGCAAACCATAGACTGTAAAAAAAAATATGGACGTAGTGTCCGTGACGTCACCCCGTAGGTTTCTGAAAAGCATTTTTATGGGGCTTAATAATTAATTATTATTCATTTGTAATGTTATTATGTCATTAAACGTTTTACGTAAATATGCTATGGAAATACATCTTGCTTAAACAACTGTATAAGACGAGTGGTGCGTCTCATTTATAAAAAAAACTATTGACAGTTTGTGATTAGATCACAATGTAGACTGAGGAATAAACTGAGTCATCAGTCCTCGCGCATGTCGGTTTCGCAAATGTGAACAGACCACATGGGGATCACACTTGGATGTTGGATCGTCTGAATATTACCTTTCTGCTCGTCTCCTCAGATCTTTTAACTTTTGTGCCATGCAGACCTTGATCTCAGTGCCTCCGATGCCTGGGTGCCTCTTTTTGACATGGTCTGTAAGAAATGAGATTGATTACATTAAAATTTGAAAACAAGTTTGACATGAAGTGACATAACTGTCAGATTCAAACTGTGCTTTCCGCGCTATGGCTGGCGCTGACGGACGCGCTCAGCGCTTGTCATATATAATAACTATTGATAAAAGATATTCAGACATGCTTACCAATTATTAGCTGCACCTTTTGTAGGTCAAGGCTCTTTTTTCACCAACAACCCCTTTTTTTCCGTTCATGCTGCCATCTCTTCGAAAGAGAAGATGGAGTCCATAAGAGTTCTGGTTAACTTTTTGTAGCCCTTACATCTTTGAGCATGATCCAAAGCAACTGGGTTCATTAAGTCAGTCACAGACTTGTTCTGCAAAGCAAAAAATAAAATAAAAAATAGAACATTTTCGTCAGGACAGAAACCGTGATCTTTTCAACGTTATTGCATATTAGGTGAGGTTTTCACTTTGGAGCTGTGAGTGTAAATTTTAGCATACAAGTATTTATTGTTCATGCTCGAGTCTTGATACTCTTTTACCTTCATATTCCAGAGTTTAGGGGTAAAATGCGAGAAATCTCCTTTAGTGGACTTGGATATGCTGGGCACTACTCACTGATCTATATAAATGACTTGATTGCTCATGACGTCATGTAAATTGAAGTCACCATATTCTATTGAATTAATAGGAAATCATCTGACTTTAATGAGTAAACATGACCTAACGAGTCAGTGTTTTTTATATTTGAATTCTATACATTCTTACCATGTAAACATCCAAAACATTTCTGATTATTATCAATGTTGAAAACAGTTGTGCTGATTAATGTGTTTGTGTAAACCATTGTAACAGTTTAAACCATTTTTTCCCCTCCAGGATTCATTGTTAAATAGACCACAAACATATGAAGGGTAGTTTACACTAATGTTCAAACATTTGGGGTCAATGATAGATTTAAAAATGAACAGAAAAAAAAGAAGAAATTCATATTTTTACTCAGCAAGGATGCATTAAATTGATCAAAAGAGAGAGTAAGGATTTCTGTTTCAAATAAATGCTGTTATTTTAACCTTTCTATTCATCAAATAATCCTGAAAAACACAAAAATATGAAGCAGCACAACTGTTTTCAACACTGATAATAATCATAAATGTTTTTTTGAGCATCAAATCGTCATATTAGAATAATTTATGAAGGATGATGTGAAGCTGTGATGCTGAAAATTCAGCTTTGATCATAGGAAGTAATTGCATTTTACAATATATTCACATAGAAAACAGTTTTTATTTATTTATATTATTTCACAATATTATTGTTTTTAATGTTTTTTGGTGAACATAAGAGAAAGAGACATAAACATTTGTACCAAGACAATTAGTGTATGTTTGACATTAGTGTATGTTTGGCGTTTTACTTACTAATCATATGGTTCATCAATAGTGCTTTAGAGATGAAGATCAGCTCCACTCCGCTCCGTTGAAGGGCATCAGCACTGAAGGATCTAAGAACACAACAAGCCATTTGTCACTGAGCCAACAATGCAATGCCAGGTTTATTGAAAGGAAAGAAGCTACAGCAGAGGTGAAATGCAGAAAAGAGAAAGAATTTAAAGAATATACAGAATATAATTTCTTAACTAGGATAACAGAATTTGTTTTTGGGTTTACTTATTCATTTAATTTTGCTCATACGGTGTAACTTCGTTTGGATGTCAAAACCTTCTTAAAATA